AAAAGAGAGAAAGGTGCCAGTTCAGAGTAAAACGGAAGGAAGTCTCGGGCGGGAGAGCTGGTTTTGTCGGGACGGCGGCTTTCGGCGGCGAGGAGGAGCACCGCCTTGAGTAAAAAAGGGGGGAAGTCTCGAGCGGGAGCGTTGTTTTTGCTGGGGGCAGCGCCGATGAGAGAAAGAGTAGCGCGCCAGTCCATGGTAAGACGGGAGGACGTCTCGAGCGAGACGCTGGTTTTGTCAGAACGGCGGTTTTCGGCGGCGAGGAGGAACACCGCCTTGAGCAGAAAGAGGAGGAAGTCTCGAGCGGGAGCGTTGTTTCTGCTGGGGGCGGCGCCGATGAAAGAAAGAGTAGCGCGCCAGTCCAAGGTAAAACGGGAGGATGTCTCGAGTGGGAACGCTGGTTTTGTTTGGACGACGGCTTTCGGCGGCGAGCAAGAGCACCAGCCCTGAGCAAATAGAGAGGAAGTCTCGAGCGTGAGCGTTGAATTCTCACTAATGAAGAATAATTAATGTTGATCCCCCCACCGGTGCATACTGTTTTTTCTGAATCAAAGTGTCCCCCATCGACGCTCGCACCTTGTTTTTCGACAGGGGAAGTCTTCCTGCTCAAACTGGGGCCTTGGCCCCCGGGTTACAACAACAACGGCTCCCGCCTGAGACTTCCTTACAATTTAGCCAGGACCCCCGCTCCCGCCCGAGAATTCCTCGCATTTGATTCAGGAATCGTGCTCTCGCTTGGGACTTCCGTACAATTTATTCAAGAATCGCTCTCCCGCCGCTCTGGAGTCGCGCTCTCGCTGGAGACTTGCTTGCAACTTACTGAAGAATGCCCTTGCGTTGGAACTTCCTGCAATTTGCCCAAGCGCCCCGCTCCCGACACCCAGGCACCCAGGAGTCGCGCCCGTTGTGGCCCCATGTGCATGCCCTTCGTGGTTCCGTTGTCGCCATTTGTGTCCCCCACACTGTCCTACGTGGCCCAGTTGCTACCCTCAGTGGTCCCATAGTTGCCTTCTGTGGCCACGCATTATCTGCACTTCGTGGCCCCCGCTCATTCGCGCTCTTCGTAGCCCCATACGCATTCCCTTCGTGGCCCCGCTGTCGCCCTTCGTGGCCTACTTCGTGCCCTTCGTGGCCCTGCTGTCGTTTTCTCTCGCTCTCGCGTTCGCTCGTCGCCGTCGTCGTCGCCGTCGTCTTCGACGTCGTCGTCGTCGTCGTCGTCGTGGTCGGTCCCCTGTCCGTCCGTCTTGGGGTCGGGTCGACGGTCCGCGGCCGCCCCGCCGATCAGCGCTGCCGCTGGCCGGGCCGACGGTCCGCGGCCGTCCCGCCGCTTGCCGGGGCCTGGCCTGCAGGGAAGAAAGGTATACCCCCCAAAAGGGGTTCGATCGAAGACGAAGAGGGCGGGTATCGAGGGTTTGGGAAATTCGCGTTATTGGACACTCGAGCATACAAGGGCGAACAGTCTTAAAATTGTTGTTGTTGTTGTTGTTGTTGTTGAAGTTGTTGCTCTTGTTGTTGTCGAACTCTCATTTTTGATGAATAATGATTGTTGATCCCCCCACTGGTGCGTATTGTTTTTTCTCAATCAAAATGTGCCCCTCGACGCTCGCACCCTGTTTTTTGACAGGGAAAGTCTTGATGCTCACACTGGGGCCTTGGCCCCCGGGTTACAACAACAACGGCTCCCGCCTGAGACTTCCTTACAATTTAGCCAGGACCCCCGCTCCCGCCCGAGAATTCCTCGCATTTGATTCAGGAATCGTGCTCTCGCTTGGGACTTCCGTACAATTTATTCCGGAATCGCTCTCCCCGCGCTCTGGAGTCGCGCTCTCGCTGGAGACTTGCTTGCAACTTACTGAAGAATGGCCTTGCGTTGGAACTTCTTGCAATTTGCCCAAGCGCCCCGCTCCCGACACCCAGGCACCCAGGAGTCGCGCCCGTTGTGGCACCATGTGCATGCCCTTCGTGGCCCCGCTGTCGCCTTTTGTGTCCCCCTCACTGTCCTACGTGGCCCAGTTGCTACCCTCAGTGGCCCCATAGTTGCCTTCTGTGGCCCCGCATTAATTATCTGCACTTCGTGGCCCCCGCTCGTTCGCGCTCTTCGTGGCCCCATACGCATTCCCTTCTTGTCCCCACTGTCGCCCTTCGTGGCCTACGTCGTGCCCTTCGTGGCCCTGCTGTCGTTCTCTCTCGCTCTCGCTTTCGCTCGTCGTCGCCGTCGTCGTCGTCGTCGTCGTCGTGGTCGGTCCCCTGTCCGTCCGTCTTGGGGTCGGGTCGACGGTCCGCGGCCGCCCCGCCGATCAGCGCTGCGGCTGGCCAGGCCGACGGTCCGCGGCCGCCCCGCCGCTTGCCAGGGCCCGGCCTGCAGGATGAAAGATATACCCCCCAAAAGGGGTTCGAACGAAGACGAAGAGGGCGGGTATCGAGGGTTTGGGAAATTCGCGTGATTGGACACTCGAGCATACAAGGGCGAACAGTCTTACAATTGTTGTTGTTGTTATTGTTGTTGCTGTTGCTGTTGTTGTTGTTATTGTTGTTGTTGTTGGGCCGGTTTGGGCACCCCCAAACCATTCGAGCGTGAGCCCCATTCAATGAAAATGCAGCCTGCGGCGAGGTGAGAGCGTCAAAGCTCCTGGGTGGGTCGAAAAATATTAAGTGTTTAGCCCTCCACATTCAACAACAACAACAACAACAACAACAGCCTCAACAGCAACAACAACAGCAGCAACCACAACCACAAGAACAACCACAACAATAACAACAGCAACATCAACGACAACAACAACAACAACAACAACAACAACCACAACAACAACAACAACCACAACAACAACAACAGCATCAACAACAACGGCGACGCCGACGACGACGACAACAACGACGGTATCCACGACAACAACAGCAACCACAATTACATCAACAACAGTCACGTTAAGACTGTTCGTGTTTGTCCTGTTTGCGTGCCACTCAACACGTATATACCAAAGCCTCGATACCCGCCCTTTTCGGTTTCGACCGTACCTTTCCAGGGGTCTGTATTTCTTACCTGCAACATGTATTCCGTGTTGCCCCTAAGGCAGGGGAAGAGAGGACGGATGGAAGGAACGGACAAGGAGGAGGAGGAGGATGTCGCACGAGAGAGAGTAGCAGGAGAGGGGCTTGGAGCAGAAAACGCGTGGCAGAACCAGACGGGACAATCGGGCGAGTATACCCTAATGGGCGGGTCGGGAAGGCGGGCTTTGGCGGCCAGGTCGAGCAGGCGGGTTGTTGAAGCGGGCGTCCTGCATGAATCGCCAGGAAGTCTCGAGCGAGCGTGAGAAATCCACAGCCAGAGCGTGATTCCTGAGTATCGAAGGCGCGGCGTCTGCGCAAATTGCGATGAAATCCCACGCGGGAGCGCGATTCCCGTATAAATTCTAACGAGATCCCGCACGAGAACACGATTTCGGAATGATTGTGAGGAAGTATCAGGCTGGAGCCGCGGTCGTTGTAAACAGGGGGCCAGGGGCACAGTTTGGTGACATGCCATTTTTCTTTGTAAACAACCGGGTGCGAGCCTGGGGAGAAGCATTTCAATTAAAAATGCAATGGGTAGTGGAGGGATGATCAACAATAAATTGTTTAAAGAAATGACAATTCGACCACAACAACAATAGCAGAGGTAGCAGCAACAACCGCAACAACAACCACAACCTCTACAGCAATGACAACGACGATAAGATTACGAACGCCAAGAATAGCAGAACAACAGCAACGACACAAACAACAACAATACCAAAAACAACAAGTACAACAACAACAGCAACAACACAACAACAGCAACAACAACAATGACGACGACGACCACAATCATGTTAAGATTGATCGCTCTCATCTGTCGGCGTGTCAGGTAACATATATTATCCCAACCCTCGTGATCCGCTCTCTTCGTCTTTGATTATACCCCCTTTGGGGAGATATCTTTCTTTCCTGCCGAGTGTAATTGGGCTGGAACACCACATCGCTCGCCCTCCGGGTCTTCGCCCCCGGTCCCTGTCCGCGGCGTACCTTTCCTTGTGCAAGCTCTCTGGCACCGCCTGCACCCCGGGCTCCACCCGCTCCGGCCGCCTGAGGCCCCGCCTTCCTGTGCCTTGTCTCCCTAATTAAAGCTGTGCGTAGCCCGCTTAGCTTTTAGCGGAAGAGGTTCGCTCTCGCCCCGCCGACCAAAAAGTGTAATTGGGCTGTCCCTAAAACCAGAAGGTCAGAAAGAAAGGAAAAAGGAGAGAGCGATGAGGAAGGGAGTGTTCGGCGAAGCAATGTTGGTTTGTCGAGGGGAGGGTTGGCTGAAGATCCGATTTATCGGCTGATGATTCTCCCAGATGACCATCAGCATCATCATCATCATCATCATCATTACTGTCTTCGTCCTCGCCGCAATTTCTTTCTATCTCGCCCCTCCTGGAAATCGAACGTGGGCACGTAAAGAAGAGGCCGGGACACACAAGCTTGCACACATATTGGGACGTAGTATGGAGGCGTTGCACGTGCGAGCTCGGAACCACAAGCATTCTCAAATCATGCGATTGCGTAAATGAGCGAGGGTTGTGAATGGTAGCTACTATAGCAGGAGTGATGGTGCGTGCGACAGCGTTGTGTATGGCTGCGCTTGCCGCATGCTCGGACCATTGTTGCGCGCGCCGAATGCAGTGCCGCACTAGAAAGATATCAAGGAAGGAACGAGCGATGGAGGGCGGAAGAAGTTTTGAAAGGGAGGGAGGGTGAGGGTGAGGACGTGGAGAAGAGAGGATGGAAGAATGGGGGGTGAGGGCAGAAGCGAAGGAAGCCGAAGGAGGAGGGAGGACGGAGGAGGAAGGAGGAAGGAGGGAAGAGGGATGAGACGATAGATGATGCAGGAGGGGGAACGGAGTAGTGAAGAGGGGGGCCCAAGGCAATGAAGTCCCTTTCCAATTTCTCGGCCCTGACCACATGTTTTCCATATTTGGTGGAAGCCAGTCGCTGGCGATGTCAGCAACGTCGGCTCAAGATGTAATGTGGGGGGATACTGTACCCGATGGTCCTCCGGGCAGTTCTGTGCTGTGGCAGCAGAGGCTGCTCCCTGCGGCAGTGTGCCGGCCTCACCTTCAAGGCGGCCACCGCTCTCTGCACCCTGCAGGCGGTCGTCCGCAGCATCTCGCTAGTCAGCTTCGACCCCTTCACCCTGGAGGCTCGGGGACACAGACATCCGACGATATGACTGTTTCAATCCCGGCAAGTTTTCTCGAGCTCGGCCCTCGGGGGCCGTTGACCTGGCCCCAGGACCATGAAAAATGCATCCGGGACGGGGAACCACTCCCAGGAAGCGGTATTTTGCCGAGTCGATCAGCGAATCCGCACGTGAGCCCTTGTTGGGTTCGCGAGAGCGGCGTTGCGGCCGCCCCTTCTGCGCGCCCGCGCCGGCAGGTTTAGGCCTCTGAGCCGTTTTCACACGCCCGAGCGGTAATCTCCAGCCACCTCTACCCCCGACAGGCGGGCCCCGACGAGGCACCGCTGGGCCCCGGCGGCGCGCCCAACAAGGGCGCGGGGCGGCAGCACGGCGGCCTCGACCAGGCCGCCGCCGCCGCCGGGGCCAGCGAGCCCGACGGCGCTGCCGCGCTGGGCGGCAGTGGCGCGGAGGCGGCGAACGACCGCGCCGAGGGCGCCCAGGCCGCGCTTGGGCCCGGGGCGGGCGAGCCAGGCGCTCGGCTGCGCTCGTTGCCCCGAGATCCGGGCGTGGCAGTTTTTCCGTTGCGGGCGTTTGCGCCTGACTTTTCACGGGGCGATCGGACTGGGTACGGTAGGTTCGTGTCGTGTCGATTGGCGACGACCCCGCCAGCAGCGTTCAACGTTGAACGCCGCGGGCGACCCAGAATCGTTCGATGTGGAACGATTTGGACGTTTCGGAAACGGACGATCGTTCAAGGTTGAGCGATCCAGCGAGTTGTCAGGAACCAACGCCGAAGTCGGCACGACACGAACCTGCCGTACGGAAGGAATGAGTGCAAAGACGGACACCGCTTCTGGCTCATTTTGATCAGGACTCGCTGTCGGTGTCGCCGCGGACGTTGCCAACTCGAGACAGGCAGCCGCTTGCCCGACAGCGGCCGCTGATAGTTTTCGAAAAATTTGCTGCTGGGCATCATACCTTATCACCCAACTGGGGCGTCGACATTTTCAGGCCCCGAGGCCATCACAGGTCGATCCAGCTGGACACACGCCGCAGGGAGATGGGGTCTATTGGGCTCTGCTTGTGATTTTGCACGATGTTGCAAGTACGTTGCTGCTTCAAACATCAGGACCAGCGATCGACTGCGAGTGGGGGGCTCGTCCCCATGCAGAGCTCCGACGACATTATGTTGACATTATGTTTTCGATCTGAGCGTTTCCTCTCGGTGTCGGCCTCCTGGGTCATTGGTCGCGCCCGGGGGCCATCAAACTTGGATCCGGGATGAAAAACTTCCCCAGGCAAGGCGTCGGGAGCTCTGGAGCCGCGGATTAGAAAATCATGCCAGCGGGTGTCAGGGTCCAGGGGTGTGAGGACCCGGGGGTCATCATGGCCGGGCCGATCCTCTTCCTGGCCCCCGTCTTCGGCGCACCCATTGCGCGCTAGATGGGTTCTTCGCCAGAGTGATCCTTGGTGCGGGCCCACGGGGTCCCTGGACCTCCTCGCGTTGCGAAAAATCATGGCGGGGGGGGTGGCAAGTTTTCGACCCCGGGAAGACCCCATCGGACCCTGGGACCCTCAAGGAACGAGTCGGGATGAAACTATTGTCTGGGGGGCAGGAGCCAGACGTCTGGGAGCCCACGTCGCGAAAAAGCACGACGTCGGAGGTCGGGCCTGGGCCCCCCGAACGCTCGATGCGATGCGACAGCAGCGGCCTGCACACGTGGAGCTAACCCCTCCCCAGACGTACTCCCACAGGACTCTGTCAACCCGCGGTCCCAGAGATTTCGACCCCTTCCCCTTGGGGCAGGATCTTCGCCCCGGATCCATGCTCGATGGCCCCGAGGCACGGCAACGGGCCCCAGAAGCCCAAATCGAGGAGACACGCACGGACCGAAAAAAGCACAGATCGTCGGAGATCTGTGTCCGCGCCAGCCCTGAAGCCGCGCACCAGTGGCCGCTCTTTGCCCAGGGTCGCTCTTGCGTGCCACCCCGAGGCACGGCCGCGGCGGACAGCGGGAGCCCCGTGCCCCTCTTCTCGATCAGCCCTGCGGCGGAGCGCAAGGTCGGGGGGGCACGCCGTCCCAGTGCCGGCGCTCGGGTCGGCAGGACGCAGCCCGGAGGGCCGTGGTCCCCTGAGCTCTGGGCGCTGCCGTGTTCGTTCACGCTGGGCGTTGGCGCCCGCTTCTGGGCCCGGGGGCCGTCACGGATCGATCTGGCGCGAGGAATGCCGCAGACAGACAGGGCCCAGGGCTGGTCGTGATTGTCCGCGATGTCGCCAGTTTTTCGCAGCGCTGGATCTCAGGGCAGATCGGAAGGCCGAGAGGTCTTCGGAGCTGGCCGAGGCTTGGCCAGCTCCTCCCCACAGCTTCGCGAAGACGGCGCCGTGCAGGCAGGCCGGGGAGCGAGCGCGTGCACATCCGAGCTGTGTCGCGCAGACTCCCTGCGCATCTTCACATTCCTGGGCGCTGCAAAAAGAGCCTCGCCCTCGAGGGGTCGAAGAATTGACGCCTACTCCTCGGCGGAAGTAGAGATCAAAACGGGGGCGGCTTCGCTGGCGGAAAGAAGAGGTGTGCACCCAGGCGATGGCAACGTTTTGGAGCTCAGCTGGGCCCCAGAACTGGCAGCCTATCCCCAGCAGCCCCTCTCAGCCTTCCTCTGCCCAAGCCATCGTTTGCCCTGACCCCGGTTCCTCTTAGAGCCAGTAAGCGAGGGTAGCAGACGATGATACACGCCGAGGAGCCCAAAAAATGGCATAGGCATGAATGTTCGGAGGTCCGCGCGGATTTCTTGAGTCGGCGGTGGACCCCTCTGGCGGCACCTCCGGCGCCGCCCCTTGCGCGCTCCGCGCGCCAAGGGTGCAGATTTCCAAGAGTTACAGTATATGCTACTACGCCGTGCTTCCTCTAGGGTGCTTCAGACTCCGCACAAGGGCCACCAGTTCCACGCGAAGGAGTTCCGCGAGATCTTCGTCGACCCACTCAAGCGGCACCCCTCGCTGAGACAAGACAACGAATCACAGTTCTCTTTCATGTGCTGCTTCCGGTCCGACCACAAGGACCCGACCCGCGAGTGGCTCCTAGGAAACTTGTCGGCCCGCACGCCCGAAAGGCCGTACCTCGTGTTTGTCCACGGCCTCTCCCTAGACGACAAGCCCCACTCGAACCCCTACAAAAAGCTGATCCTGGAGCGCGACGACTTTCTGTACCTGCATTTTGACCTGCGCGGTTACAGGCCGTACACCGACCACATAGCTCGCTTCCCCGGCATCACAGTGGCTCCTCCCGTGTTCTTCGAGGGCCCCGCGCCGAATTTGGATGTTGTGCCGCCTTACACCCTCACGTTCCGGGGCAGCCTTAGAATGCGCAATTCTATGGGGCCAAACCATCCCCGTAGAATGATTGCCGAGGTGGCCAAACATCTGACCGACCGGGCGGACGTGGCCATAGAGTGGTTGAACAAGTCTCTGCCGGATTGGAAGCAGGGAGGGGACCGCCTCGTACAGAAGAGCGACAGGGAAAGGTACATGGAGCTGATGAATACCAAGTTTGTTTTGATGTTGCGCGGCGTGGACAGATGGTCATACCGCTTCTCAGAGGCTATAGGAGCATGCGCAATCCCAGTGCTTATCTCTCACTCACCGAAATTCGGGCTAACACTTCCCTACGAGGAGCTGATCAATTGGAGCCAGCACGTAATTGTGTTGTCCCAAATTCTTGGAAAGAAGAACGAGGCCGACACCTTGAGGAAGCTGAATCAGACCCCTCGTCTACTGGTGGACAGCCTCCCATCCGATCCCGAAACCATACAGACAATGCGCCGCAAGATCTGCGCACTGAACGACGAGTTCTTCTCTACTGCGAAGAAGCGCGCAGAAGCCACCCTGCGCGCGGCTGCCATCAGGGCGTCCTTACCTCGCTGGCCAAATGGGCAGAATGGCGCTAATGGTATAGTCGAAGAGCCCACAGAGACCAAAGTACCCCAAACAAATACGCATCTTGTGGACTGCGCTGGAACCTAAGTGGCGTGATAACAAGCCTGCGGAATCATTTTGGTGAAATGGCTTACAGGGTCGGCTGGACTGGCCTGGAGGAGGGCAATCGAGGGTTTTCCAGGCCACCAGAATTCAAGCTAGCAGACAACTCTGGCCATATAATGCTTCCACATGATACAGTGGGGGGAGGGGGGGCACTATAAAAGTGAGGCCCGCCTGGCTGGCTGGGCTGCCCCAGCTGTCCCGGCTGGCCTGGATGGCTCGGCCGCCTGAGCCAGGGCCCCAAGAGTACCCCAAAGCCCGTCCAAACTTCGAACAAGAACAACAACGTCCAATATCCCTGGTGTTCTACAGTCTCGAAAGAAGCCCCAGGAAGGCTCCAGAGGCTCCAAGAGGCCCTCAAGAGACCCCCAAGCAGCCCCCATGGGGTCCCACACAGACTTCGCTTGGGGGGGAAGTCTTCAGCATGGGATGAGGTAGGGGTCGCCCCGTCCCCGAAATCCGCGTGCGCCCAGAGGGCCGGTGGGACTAGGGACACCATACCAGACAGCCAATACTTTTCAGTCGCGGCGACTTGGAACCAAGACGCGGTCGGGGCAGCCGAGGGACACGACGGGGGCCAAATTAGGCACGACGGGAGCGGGAGAGGCGCGAAGGGGGGGAGGAAGCCGCTGGCGGCGGAACACACCCAGAACATGTAATTATGCTGCGTGTGCGTGCCAGAGCACAGGCTTACACGGGCAGATGATGGTAGGAGATAGATCGACTACACGTAAGAGTGACCTTTTGCCGGAGTGACCTTTGGTGCGGGCTCATCGGGCTGCCCCCGATCGCCGAGCACGATGCGATATAAGTGGCCCGCGCCCGTGGGTTTGGCTCCCTCGCGCCCCAAAAAGCTGCGCACCAAAGGTCATTCTTACACAGGGTCACTCTTACGCCTAGCCGAATAGACAATACATAGCATAGCACGCTTCAGCGTGCCGAGAGTGCGGTTGCAGTGTCGCCCACGCTATCATGTTCCCATCGGTCATCGTTGTTGCAGCCATACGTGAAACTCGTTGTGCTTCTAAGTATATGATTATATGTGCCGCTTCGAGGTACGATTGGATCGTGTCGAACCCGCCCGTGCACTGTGGCGCGACGGGGGAGGGGGGAGATGGCAGAGGGAAGAAGCTGTGATAAATAGGAGGTGGAGAGGGTATAGCTGAAGAACGAGGATGAGCACTGCTTACAGCGGGAGGGATGCACCGAAGAGCAACTGTGCTCGCATCGCGCAGCCGCGGTCACCACTGCTTCCATAGTGTCTTTCGGTCGCCGCTTCTCCTCGTACTATCGCTTCTTCCTCCCAAGCAGTGTTTGCACGTACTGGTTGTTTTTCGTGTTCGGAGGAATTGGTTTTATTTTGTGCGGGCGGCCGTTGCTTCGTGAACCGTTGTGGCTTCGGCTGCCTGAACCGAACCGATGTGGCAAGTCTTGCCAGGTCGGCCTTTTTCTGTTTGCATGGCTATGGATGTGGCTGCTTGGAACGCTGGTTCCTTGGACCATTATGGCCAGGTGTGTGCCGCCCCCGCACCTGCCCATGTCTTTCGGGGCGAGCCGTTGTTGCCTGGACCGATGTGCGTTTGCTTGATTGGACCGCTGTGGTCTGTCTTCCGCCCTTGTCTGTTGGTGCTCGGACCGTTGTGGCTTGTGCTGGTTGGACCGCTGTGGCCTGTCAGCCGCCCTCGCCCGTCGCTGATTGGACCGCTGTGGGTTCGCTGCTTGGGCCGCTATGGCACGTCTTCCGCCGTCGCCAGTGGTACTTGGACCGACATGGCTTTGGCTGTCTGGATCGCTGTGACATGTGCGCCGCCCTCGCCCGCAGCAGGTGTTCGGACCGCTACTTCCTGTCTGCACACAGGGCTCCACACCTGAAAGGGGTCCACACACGGGGTTCCGCACACATTGTTGAACGAATCAATTGTTTGGAGTCCACGCCCTGGCATTACTGGAGTCTCCCATCTGCCCACTGCAGACAAAGACGGCCTCAAACCCAGCTCAAAAACAAAGTTCCTGAAGTCCTGTGCAGAGATCGTGACGATGTCCTCCATACGAAGGTTTGCCAAAGTGCTGGTGATAATTGCGGGAAGGCTATGCGTTCAATTACCAAACCCTTGGCAATCCGCAGACAGAGGTTGGAGCCACGTTGGGCGAGAGCATCGTGGAGTGTCAACAGCTCGCGTTCCGCAGGGTTTTTAATGTACGTACATTTTCAACACGCACAGACACACAGAGACACACGTTTTAGGTCGGCGGCTAGGCAGAGTGACTGCGTTGGCGGGATGAGCATATGTAGGGCGTGCAGGTGCGAATTGGGCCGCGATGCACGTGAGGAGGAGGGGGAGGCCCGAACACACACACACACACACACACACACACAAGCACACACACACACACGCACACACACACACACACACACTTTCGGAGCTTACAGCAGTTTGCGTCGAAGGCGAAGGTTTGGTTGATGCTGGAGACGACACAGCAGAAAGGTCTGATACACCATCCGTTCCAGACGCCGTTATTGTTGAGAGGACCACAGTTGCATGAAGTATTAAACATGATGTGATTCAAGCCGTATGCAGATGTCGTTGCATTTTCCATTCAGTTCAAAGTTGTTGGTACATAAGTTAGTACCATAATGTCTGCCGTACGTTCGCATCCGCAGTAGCTATATATAGGTATATACGAAATCACGGTTACCGCGGGGCCCATGGCGATATTGATATAACAGAGGTCGCAGATTCGGCGGTTTTCTATTATTCGCGATCAACGCATTGGGCCGATGTGTACCGGGTGTTCGCATGTTTTCATGTCGGCTTATTCGATGGGCTTCACGTTTGTAACAAATATATTTCCGTGGTCCTACACGTATGATGTATCACATGCGTCCGCAAATACCAGCAGCCGAAGCTCATCGTCGGGACCCGCATCTACCGATGCAGACCCGGATGTGCTATGTGTGTCGGTCGCGCGCACCTTCTTATAACCGCAACGCTTCGCCAGCGATGAGCATGCTGTGTAAGTTCGAGCGTTTGGATGTACAATCGGCGCGGTCGCGCTTGCCCCCGTGTGTCATGTGAATTTGGGTGGTGTGAGTGTACATGTGTCGAGGTGAGAATTTGGGCGCAAGAGCATAGAGGTTCGGGGGGCGAGGCCTCGGGGGGGAGACCTCCAGGAGGCGCTCCAACAGGAAACGCTCCACCAAACCAGGGTGCGCTCCTCCAGGGTACGTTTCCAATTGGAACTCTCCGTGGTGGAACGGTCCCAGGTGGACGGTCCCTTGGTGGAACTTCCTCTGGTGGGACATCCTCTGGAGGAGTTCCCCCTGGCGGAACGCCTCCCGGTGGAACCAGGGGGCGCTCCACCAGGGGACGTTCCACCAGAGGACGCTCCACGGGAGAAGGCTCCACCAGGGAACCCTCTACAAGCGGATGTTCCACAAGGGCGTTCCACCTGGGGCATGTTCCACCAGGGGATGGTCCACCATTTTGTGTTTTTCTTTGCGGGGCGCGCGCGTTGGGCGGCCGGGTCTCTTCGTGTCGGTCGGCTTTCCACGGGCGGTCGGGCCGGTCGGGCGGGAAAGCAAATGATGATGCGCCATCGAGTCAGGACGGACGGGCGAACTCTGTCGGACGTGTCGGGTCGGGCGGACCCCAACGGGCGGGCTGGGCCAGGCGGGTGGATCATGACAACGTGGTGTATCATGGAGTTGGTGCGCGCCTACGGCGGCGGGGTCGGGCTGGGCTGGCGGACCCTGTAGGGCGGCTCTGGTTGGGCGGACCCCAAAGGCTCGGGTGGGCTGGGCGAAACATTGAAATCGAGTGCGTCATATAGATGTCACGCGTGTGCGGCGGGAGGGTCGGGGCGGGCGGGCGGACTTTGATGGGAGGTTCGCATCGGTCGGACCTGGGCCGATGGGGTCGGGCGGGCGGGATATGAAAGTATGACGCATCATCGAGTTGACGCGTGTTTACGGCGGCCGTTTACGGCGGCCGGGTCGGGTCGGGCGAACAGACCTTGACGTGCGGGGTTGTTTCGGGGCTTCTCATTTCTAGCCTCGCTCGGGGTCGTTGGTTAAAGAGGCGCGACCGTGTCTCCAGAAAGCGTCGGCCGAAGGGGCGTGCGGGGACGTTTGCCATGGGGAATCACGGGGATGCGGAAAGACGAGAGAGGGATGCGGAGGAGGAGGGGGAGGGGTTGAGTGACTACCACACTTTTTGTAGTCACGCCAATGTTGTGCCTGCGATGGCCTAGCTTTCTCTTTGTCTGATTTGCGTGACTACAATACGAGTTACAGCCGCGCAAACTTATTGCCCGCAGGCAACCATCCCGAAGAAGACAAGGAATGAGCTAGGTCAAAAATAATGTGGTTTATCTGAAATACATCGAACCGAGGCAAAAAAATGTGCTTACAACATTTCCTGTAGTCATGCAACTATTGTGTCTGCGTTGGCCCAGCTTAGTTTCTGATTAATTCGAGATGGCTGCGGTAGGGCAAGACATGCGCGTGACTGCAGCATGTGCTGTAGCCACCCAAAGTGTGAGCATTGCGTTGTGGTTTATCTGTCCTAGGCTCTGCTCTTCTCTCTCGGCTACGCTCTCATCGTATACCAACTCAACTATCTCGTTGGGAACCTGCGCGGTGTAATGCTGAAATCCAGTCTGCTCGAATGATGGTATCGATGCTTCCGTTCATTCTCCAAATGGGCTTGCCCTATAGGAGTTCTAACTCAAGCCCTACTAATTGGTCCGTTGCCCCCCTAATTCCCATGCCCCTCCTAATTCCTATGGATTGCTTGCGTGCTTCCTTGCTTGCTTGCGCGCTTGCTTGCGCGCTTGCTTGCTTGCACGTTTGCTTGCTTGCTGAGTTGCGGATTCCAAGCATGCTTAATTCCTTTGATTATTTGATTTGAGTCGTCTAATCTATTGGGAGTCAACGCTGGCTGATATTTGTTTAGGCTGCGTTTGTTTGAATATGGGCTCGCTTGCCTGATGTGCCTCGCGCGGGCTCTCCACGACAGCTCCCTCCACGCTCTTCGCGCTCGCTCGGGGCTTTAAGCGGCAGACGCTCCCCTCGAGGCTTGCCTCTTGGGGGCCGTGCGCGCGCAACACGGCCAGCCGAAGTCGGCCAGAAAAGTTCGGCCGAAGAAATTCGGGGCGGAAACAAGTCGGCCGGACAAATTCGGGCGGGGACATGCTAGGCCAGGAAAAAATTCGGCCAAGTTGACTTCGATGGGCGCTGAAGTCGACCCGCCGAACTCGGCCAGCGCTCCGGTTGCAACGGGAGTTCGCGCTAAATTCGGCCTGACGATCTCGGACAGGATAAATTCGGCGGGAGAAATTGGGCCGGAGAAACTCGGTCCGCGTTGAGCTCGGCCATGCGAAATTCGGCCTTTGGCCGAGTTTAGATTGGCCGAGTTCGGCTCGGCCGAGTTCGGCTCGGCCGAGTTCGGCTGGCCGAGTCTCGCTTGGCCTAATATTTTTCTTGTCGAGGCCTCCAAAGGCTTCTCAGACCAGCAACGCGAGGCCCAATATGGACCAAAACCGTAGAACCCTGTCCGAAATCCTCGATAGAAGGAGGAGGAACAGGAGGAGGAGGAGGAGAAAGACGAGGAGTAGCGGGAGGCGCGCGATGTTGCTGTCCTCCCGTGTCGTCCCTTTCCGCGTTCCTCCCTCGCCTCCTGGGGTAGCCCCCCCTGTCGGCTAGTGGTGCCACCTTTCAAAACCGGCCATGCCTCCCTGTTTGGGGGGGCAGGGCTGGGGACGGCTTCAGGACAACCCAAACCAGCCGTGAGCAGCAGCAGAAGGCGCGCGCACTGTCGGTACCCATTAAGCGGGCGAGCAGGGCCCTCGGGCCTGCTCTCCCCCCCAGGGGCCCTGGCGCACATTTCGGCCAGAGGGCGGGGGGCCTTGAGAGGAGGGCCGCCCCCCGGCTGCGCGTGGGGGTGGCCCTTCGCCAGAGTTGAGTTTCCTTGGGCGCCTGGACGAGTCCTGAAGCGCAACATGCTAACCCTTCGGCGGGCCCCCAGAAGCTCCCCGAATCCCAAAGGGCGTCCCTGAGATGTTGCCCAGACATGTCTTGATGAGCAAATCTACCCTGGGGGACCCACGAGGCTCCGAGGGTTTGAGAACAAAGAAGTAGTTGTTCATATGATTTCCCTGGTGAGGGATCCAGCAATTGCAGGCCACCTTGGGTTCACGGGACTCATAGGGCTCATGGAGCTTGCTGTATTCATAGGGCAGGCCCAGTAGCTTTCGCAAGGCTGGCGTGTGATTGCTTTCTGAATGCTTTGAAGGCGGACCGTTTTTGCTACAGTCTTTCTTGGAGGGCTCACGGGGCTCCCAGTGCATGGACGCCGTGTAATAGTTGAACATGTGACTGCCAGGGTTAGGGATCTATCGGTTGCAGGGCTCATGGGGCCCAAGGGCTTGTAGGGCTCGTGGGACCTTACTGTAGTGGTCGGGGCAGGCTTGGTAGCCTTTGCAGGGTTCTTGTGGGCTTAAACTACTGTGAGTCGTGACGTGGACCGTCACGGGGCTTGTAGGGCTCATGGAGCGTATTGTACGCATCATTGCAGCCGTGGTAGGCTTCGTGGGACTCATGTGGGTTTGCTTTCCTGTGAGTTGTGAGGTAGACTGTGTTTGCTACAGATTTTCTTGCAGGGCCTGGGGGGCTGGGCCTGGACACCGTGTAGTACTTGTACATATGACTAACATGGTTAGGGATGTAGCGATCGCATGGCTCATTGTGCCCAGGGCGCTTGTAGGTCTTATGATGCGTACTGTTCTCATCAGGACAGGGCCCGTAGCTTTTGCAGGTCTCATGGGGCTCCCCCTTCTCTGGCGTCTGAGGCGGACCGATGTTGAGACAATCCTTTCTGCTCTGGGGGCTCCCAGGATTGGGACACCATGTAGTAGCTGTATACTGGCTGGCCTGTTTCGGCATCTAGCGATTGCAAGGGCTCATTGGCTCATGTGGCCTCTAGGCCTTATGAAGCGTTCTGTTCTCATCAGGGCAGGCCCGGTAGCCCATGTGGGCCGCATGGAGGTACGCCACCCGTTGATATCGAGGCGGGCCGTTTTTGCTGCAATGCCCCTGAGGAGGGCTCAGGTGGCTCCTATGGCCTGCACACCTTGTTGTGGTTGTACATATGATTGCCCTGGTTAGGCATCTAGGGATTGCAGGCTCACTGGGCTC